ATCTTTCTTCAACTTGAAAAATAACACGAAAAGATACAATTATACAGGGCAAACCTATTTGACAAAAAATGGAAATTTTGTTATATGAACTAAGTGTATTTCTTTTATGCGACGTCAATGATCCGGCTAAATACTGCGCATCCACACACAAACCAAAATTTAAAGTTTATACATCTGAGAGCGTTTTATTTTGGGGAAACGGCCATGATAATTGAGGAGTACCTACAAGCTAGCAGTACAAAATGGGCGCATGGAAGGTGTGTTATAGGCTAGGGGAGCAACGGCTATTATAACAGTTTGGTGATAAGGGGTTGAAAACAATAAATAAGGACTGCATTCAGCACAGACGATCAAATATGACCGACCCCACTTGAAAGCGATGCCGCTAACCCCTAATTGTCGCCCCGCCTACCTCACGCGGCAGGCATGATGGGACGTAGCAATTAAACGGATTAAGTCTTGACTTTGAAGTTTAATTGTTAGGCCCCTGTTTGACTGTGTGGTAGTCCGCATTCAGAACAGATGATCTGCGGACTAACTGATCCGCCGACTAAATATGGCCGACCCCACTTGAAAGCAAATCCGCCTAATAACCTAATGGTCTCCCCGTCTCCACACAGATTAAATCTCGGCTTCGAGGTTTAATTGCGAGGCCACTGCAGGGATGCCGCGTTGTGAAGGCGGGGAGACCGTCAGGGAATTAGGCGGCTTTGCCTTTAAGCTGTCTATCATTGGACCGTTTGGTCCATGTCATAAACATGTTCATGAGCTTGCTCCACACTATCCTGTCTTGTACATGTAATCATTGCGTCATCCATTCCACCCGTTGCCTTTCTCCTTGACTAGTAAAAAATGATATTAAAACTCAAGCGCTTTCCACATAATATTATATGCTATTTGAATGTACTTGTTATGTGTGCTTGTTTGACTAGACAATATATACTAAGTTGATCCCCGTCATATCAGTCATTGAACCATGATAAGAGATTGATGTTCAATATTTTATCATAGTAATTGTGATCTTAAAAAAAAAATTAAATAAAATTATTTGTTTGTGACATGCATATTCGACCGAAATCCGGTAAAAAAAAAAAACAATAAAAATAAAAAATTATCCTCCCTACCCTACCTGTAGACGCAAAAAGAATTATCAACAAAGATTTTATATAAAAATATATTTATAGTAAAAACAATTATAATTTTAAAAAATCAAAGAAAAAAATTGGGACCGAGTGGAAATTGAACTCACTCCACCCTGTTTGGCAGCCTATGACGTTCCCAATGTATAGATGGAGTTTGTACCCTTGGCCACTAGCATTGAGATAAGTGCACAGCTTTGACGAAGCTTAATCTATCACCTATCGATATTTTAAAAAAAGTTAATGAGAGAGATAGCATCTTTGGAATTGATCCACCACTTTATAAGACGTTGTAAATAGGAGACCATTTACCGTTCTGTTCACCTAGTGACCAACAGAAAACGCAACGAGTTCAAAATAAAGAACAAAAGCTTATCTACATGACAGACTGCATGAACACTATTATTTATTCATTCATCGATTTATTTAGTAATTTTCGAATACAAAAGATCGTTCAAAAGGCCCTGATTTGAAACGCGTAGACTTCATTTAAGTTTACATTAATCTTTGTTTGTTAAAAAAAGGTAGCAGTAAAACCCTTATTAAACCTGAAATAGGCCTACTTGATACTGGACAACCTCGGCATTTAAAGCAACCAACTGAGAACAAGATGTCTGCTTCCGGAAATTCTCGAAAGGTAACGTCTTCATGATTCGTATTATGTTCGTTTTAATTTATTATTACTCATTTATTATGCATATGTTTTGTAATTTACATTGTAAGTAACAAACGAACAGACAATCAAACACCAGTAATGGCTGCTTGACGTCGTATCATGGTATGTCATCGTTAGGGGACAAGATAAAGGTATATCGCTCCACAGTTAATATACGTACAAGAACATCGCTCTAACTTAACAACCCCGTAATTACATGTTGCACAGGTACACGCATATTGAACGTCTCGATGGAATAGTAGATTTATTTTATTCTCAAAGAAATCCCAATGTTATTCAATGAGTCCGAGAGAGTTAAAATCTTCAAGTTTACTGAGAGACCTGCTGTAGAGGTTCAGCAAGTTATTTTTAAGGCAACATACAGGTCGTCCTATCTTTTAAAAAAATCCCAGCCGTTTTCTCCTGAGCTCCACCAACACAGATATTTACACGTCACGTGACTCTGATATCCTGAGAAGCAAACCAGGGCCCCGTATCTCGAAAGCATCGCGCATTGCGACCGTGCGCAAGCGTCTCGATTCCATAACTCACCCATACTCGCCCCATATAATGCAGTGTAGCCTCTATGTGATATCGCTATTCGCAATACGCGATGCTTTCGAGATACGGGGCCCAGCTCGCTTGTTTTTAACAACCAGAGCTGTTACAACTTCCCACGTGACAGTAACTGACAGATGGGGAGGGTTTTGTAGTTTTGTGGCATGCGTTACCAGAGTTGTACAAATATTATGACCTAAATTTACCTTGGTGCTATTTATTGATACGCTTTTTTCAATCCAAGTCTGAAAAATATTTCTGTAATAGAGCAGATTATCCTTTGATAAAGTGCGATGTATTTCTGGTAGGGGGTTTACAATTCAAACAGTTAATTTGACTGTTTGCTTTCGTTTTAGAAATGAAATATGAGAGCTTTTGAAGCACTCATCAATGACCTGTTTACCTCACCTATAAAAACAAAGATAGTTACCTCACCCATCCCACGTGACCAATGATTAATCTCTCAGGCGTGTCATTTGGAACAAAGACAAAATAACATTTAAGTTGATTGAGACGGACGCATGTTTATTATAAGGTTAATGCTGCATATCCCCAGGGCGTATTTCATAAGGTAAGCATTGCGACTATGTTTGACAAGAAGAACTCCTTAAAAGCTTGGAGAGGTGCTAGGTTTTTAAGAATGTTATATTTTGGAAATTTTAGAATCCAAACTGTGTTTCATCTATTTTCTAATTTTGCCAGTATTTCCGATTGGAAATGTTTACATACAAGCACGTTTGAGAAGTAATATATAATGGCAGTAGAAGTCGAGATACGTCCTTTTTACAGTAGTGTATGACTAAAGATACCGTTATGTAATCTACAGGATGTGTTCAATTCAATGTAAGTGTAGGTCATCTCTCCCTGCAGTTCGCAGTTCAACTTGAATATTTAACCCCTGTTCTTGAAGTTTGTTGCATAAAAAAAACGACCGGAGAGAAAAGTCGGTTTCAGATGATTCTGAAGGGTTCTAGAAAAAACAGAGGTAAACTGTGTTCGCAGACATCAACTTGAGCCGGTTTACAAGGGAATTTAGGCCGAAAATTGAAGTCTACTCTCAGCTCAGATATATCTGCAGTAACCCACTAATGTGCCTGGTTTATAACGGTAAAGAAATATGGATTGTTTTAAACCGATACTACTACCACTACGGATTTGTATGGAATGGAAAAAAGGACAAAAGTGTGCATCTCAAAATGAAGGTCCAAAGTATTTTTTGTGAATCTTAGTCTTGATTTTTAGATTACACTTCTACACATTGGTAAGAAAGTGGAAAACACCAAAGTTTTTTTTTAAAGTTTGATATGTACTTAATCTCAGTATGTCACACATTTTGATGTTAGAATCAAGGTAACTTTTGTTTATTTATTTATTTATTTCATTATTTTTTTATTATTTTTTGCAAATCACATTGCTGTGATATAAATTCCATTGGTATTGTTATAATTGACGAGCTAATTCTTAGTACCCAGTATCAGTGTATTCCCTTGCAGGTGAAATGTGTTGTTGTTCTGTTCCATAAAAACATATCGGTTCTAACATATTGATTTTTAAAATCTGGGACACGCAATCTCAAAGGCAAAGCCAGCTAGCATAAATACTTGTTCGGGCTATATGACGTAATATCTTGTTTAGGGTAAGATAAATATGGCGGTATCAGACGTGGTAGTTGATCCTGTGATCCCCTACAACGTTTGCAGTCTTCAATCTCCGCTAATGCCCCTATTTCACACAGACCACGAATCCCACGAATGGCCATGAATTGACAAATTTCACGATTCGTGGTTGAATCGTAATCAGTTCGTGAAGTTCTTAACAGATTCGTATATATTCGTAGTCAGTTCTTGCA